AAAAAAAAAAAAAAAAAAAAAAAAAAAAAAAAAAAAAAAAAGATGGGAAAATGTCAAAAAGACAAAGCAGCCCGACTGAAAAGCTTCTTCTGGTCAAATCTGAGGCAATTTAAGCATTGAAATAAAGATACTACCAGAATATTTACGGAATAAATAAGAATTTGAGTCCATACTGACAATTTTTTTTTTAAAATGACAAAATGGGAAGAAGAGAATACTCTCCCTTATAATAAACAATAAGTAAATGTGGAAGGAATGACATAGAAAATCACCATTTTGTGACTGTCTTAGTAATCACTGATTCAGTCAAGAAACATCAATGAATACTTAAACTAGTGTTAGCAACAAGAGGTTGATGAGGACTAGGATATTTACAAAGACTCAAAAGTATCTCCCCACAAATAACTTATTAGTTACAAAGGGAGAAATAGTGACTTTACAATGATTAACCTAGCAAGAATAACCTTAACCAAGTCATCAAAGATAATATTACCAATAACAAGATAAATTCCTGTTGTACCCCTGAGAAAAAGACATCACTTCTGAGGCGTTCTTGCCAAATATACACAACTTCAATCAAAACATGAAGAAACATGAGGAAACAACATGCAAACCCAAATTGTAGCTATTCTACAAAATAACTGACCTGTACTCTTCAAAAATGTCAAGATCATGAGAGGCTAAGAAAGGCTGAGAAACTATTTCAAATTAAAGAAGACTGAAGAGACAGGACAACTAATTGCAAAGTATAATCTTAAACTAGACTCTGGGACAGAAAGAGCATTACTGGGACAACTGGCAAAACATGAATACTAATGGACTAGATTAGCATTGTATCAATGTTACATTTCCTAATTGTGATGAATTTATGGTAGTTATCTAAGAAATCGGCTTGTTTGAGAAAATACATGCTGGAATACTTACAAATAAAGTGGTATGATGATACCAGCAAAACCTCAAAAATGCCTATGTTGTAAATGCATTAGGATAATAGAAATGTATGAATACATACAAATCCCCAGATTCTTTAATTTGTTCATAAGTTTGCCAATGAGACTAGCAGTCTGTATCTGAAGTCTAAACATTTAAAACCAGATATTGGGACTGGTTTGTAAACAGGATTCTAGTTCCCGGGAACTAGATAAGTATCCCAAATGTACTTCTTTCCTTTCTACTCCCCCCCCCCCCCCCCCCCCAAAAAA